TTATCATTCCCAAGAAGGATGGATCTGTACGGTTCATCTCTGACTTCCGGGAACTGAACAAAAGGATTAAGCGAAAACCTTATCCGATCCCAAAGATACAAGACATGCTACTGAATCTAGACGGATTCAAGTACGCTACTAGTCTCGACTTGAACATGGGATACTATCATATCGAGCTGTCACCTCACTCGAAACAACTCTGTACTATCGTTCTTCCATGGGGAAAATACGAGTACCAGAGATTGCCAATGGGCCTATGCAATACCTTTCCTCTTTTTCTGATACTTTCTTTTCACCAGGGCCCCAAACGTGTTTTGACCTTAGCCATGCGGTACTAAACGTTAAATCCTCTGCTTCTCAAGCAGCACAAAGCAGCATGAAGTGACTTCTCCACTTCAATCCAACATGTTTTGACCTTACAAAACATCCCTATTCCGTTAAATATCGAGGGAGGTTCGACCTTTAACCAAAATCAAAAGAAAGGGAAAGGTAGTCCCGACATCTTCCAAGAGAAGTGGGAACACTCATGCACGACTTGGAATACGTCCGTGCATACATTGATGATCTACTCATCCTAACTAATGGCGATCTAGCAGATCACGTTGAAAAGTTAGATGAAGTTCTCCAAAGGCTTCGAGAAGCCGGACTTAAGATCAATGCTACCAAGTCCTTCTTCGCAAGAGGAGAACTTGAATATTTAGGCTATTGGATTACTCGAGAAGGAATCCAACCCGTAACCAAGAAAATAGATGCGATCCAGAATATCGCTCCTCCTACGAATAGGAAGGAACTTCGTAGATTCATTGGACTAGTGAACTACTATCGAGACATGTGGATGAGACGATCACATGTACTAGCACCACTCGCTACACTTACTTCCAAAACTAAGAAGTGGAAATGGGAAGCTGAACACGACGAGGCCTTTCGCAAGATGAAGAAAATCATCAGCAAAGAAACCTTGCTCGCTTACCCTGACTTCAACGACACATTCGTTATCCACACGGATGCAAGTGATACGCAACTGGGTGCAGTGATTTCCCAGAAGGGAAAGCCTATCGCGTTCTACAGCAGGAAACTCAACCCCGCTCAAACACGCTCTACGGTAAATGAGAAGGAACTTCTCAGTATCGTCGAGACTCTCAAGGAGTTCCGTAACATTCTTCTCGGGCAGAAGATTGTAGTACATACGGACCACAAGAATCTCACCTGCAAGAATTTCAATACCGATCGCGTTATGCGATGGCGCCTTTTTCTGGAAGAATATGGCCCCGAACTTCGGTACATCAAGGGCGAACACAACAATCGTCGCTGATGCGTTGTTGAGACTTAACATCTCGAACAACGATGGTTCTTCAGAACAAATGGAAGCCAGCGAGATTGCTGAGCTCATGGCCGCAGACGAAGAGGACTTCCCTAGTGACTTCCCTCTCTCATTCCCCGAGATCGAACATCGCCAGAAGGACGATAACGATATCAAGAAACTCCTCAGGGACAAGCCAAACGACTACAAGAAACAATCTTTTCCCAGAGGGGACAAGTCCTATGAACTAGTAGTCAAGGACAACAAGATTGTTGTGCCTAAGGCCATGCAAAAGAAGCTGGTCGAATGGAATCATGGTGTACTGATGCATCCTGGCGAGACTCGCACAGAACTTACCATCAGTCAACACTACACCTGGAAAGGGTTGCGCAAGACTGTGCAGTCCGTATGTCAGCATTGCCAAAGCTGCCAACTGAACAAACCCAAAACGTGTAAGCTGGGATTGCTTCCTCCAAAGACTTGCGAGGAGATCCCTTGGGAAAGACTATGTATTGACCTGATAGGTCCATACAACGTCGGGGATCCTAAGAAAAAGAATTCCTGTACACTTCATTGCCTGACAATGATTGATCCCGTAACCGGATGGTTCGAGATTGCTGAGATCTGCTCCAAAGCAGCAGACGAAGTAGCCATCGTTCTAGAACAGACGTGGCTTACTCGGTATCCATGGCCTGCTGAGGTTATCATGGATAGAGGACGTGAGTTCCGTGCAGAAGTCGAGAAGACTCTCCGGGATGAATATGGACTTCGTCGAAAGTTCATTACCACACGTAACCCTCAAGCCAACTCAATGGTCGAGCGTGCTCATCAGACCATTCGTAACTTGATAGCTGTTCAGAATATCAAGTGTCAAGACGACCTCGTGAATGGATCCTGGGATGGAGTCCTCACGGCGGTTCGGTTCGCAATGAATGCCACGATTCACACCACCTTGCGTGCAACGCCTGCACAGCTCGTGTTCAATCGTGACGCGATTCACAACGTCCGTTTCGAAGCAAACTGGAAATACGTCAAGGAACGTCGCCAACGACTTATCCAGCAAAACAATGATAGGGAGAACGCGACGCGTGTCCCTCATCAATACAATGTCAACGATACTGTGATGATCCAACAGTATCAGCACCGCAAGTACGGTCAGCCAAAGTACAAAGGTCCTTACAACATAGACCGAGTCAATGACAATGGCACTGTACGGCTCCGACATGCTACCGCCAATGGCGGCACAGTCTACCAGACTTGGAACATAAGGTATTTACACCCATACAAGGCCTGATCCCCTTGTAGGATTGTCATCGTGCGACGCACATGTCTACATCCAATCTCCGGAGAGTGCCCCGCACTTTAATTCATATGTTCTCCTTGCCCGACTGATGTCATGCCTCCTGTGACCCTTGTCAGGGGGCGAATGCAATACACGGCTCTTAGCCTTATTCGCGACTCGATCCTAGATAGGGTTTGAGTTCGACTCATGACGTAGTCCTTCGCGAATAGTCATTGAGACAGGGTTCTCATGACTGCTAGTCATACTAGGTTGTCGATGGAACATCGCTCTAGATATTTAGCCGGCGTGGAAAGCTTCCACACTACTAGACAGCTACTAGCTGAAGTTTCCACGTGTTCCGGAAATGGACCGTGGAGTACGTAGAGTTATTACCATAACCTACGATATCACACTTCGAGGCCTCCCGCGGGAGACCAACTTCAATGAGGTTCACAACGATCTCTCTCATGGATTAGTTTTCGTAGCATTCTAATCTCTCTCATAACTTTCATTCTCTCAAACTCAAAACACTCGAAATATCTTTACACTAGCTTTTAGCGTAGTGCATTCGGCTGTGGGGATTTCTGCATGGCTTGTTGCCACAGTGAACGCTGAATGGATTAAGTGCCAATGTGCTCAAAGGAGTAATATTGACAATGAAATGGTTGGCTTCTATTGTCCAATCTCTCTTCCGGTGGTGTTCTTATGGCTCCGATGTGGGAATTTCTGTCTTCACTCAGGTTGTTGCCACAGTTGAGCGTCATTGAAAGAATCAACGGAAGGAGGTCCATTGTTGCAATTTTCATGCACTTTCTGTGGCCAGCTGGTCTTGACTGTCAGTGCACACAACGAAACTGATGCTTTTTTGCTCTCTTCGACTCCCAATTCCACGATGGGCATTCAGAATTGGAGACCTGACACACGGCATTCCCAAATGAAGAAGCCTGGCACTAGTGGATTACCCCATCCAATGCTGGCAAAGGTCTGCCTACTGTCCAATTTGGAACACAATTTGGAACACAAATAGTACCCCCTCCAATGCGGCAAAGGTCTGCCTACTTCATTCATTAGTATGTGCCTATTCCATTCGGATACAAAGAGTTTGGTTGCATTCATCATTGGATATGTTCTCCTTGTAGTGTAGGGTGTGTGGTTTTTTTGCTCTTGGAAATCAAGAATGATGCATTGACATATTCCCAATCCAGCCAGTGGAGACATATTTACACATCTCTTGGTGCTCCTGGCTGTCATATTGGTGTTGCCCGGTGTTGCTGCCTTCAATTTGCTTCTCAAGAAGAGGATACTCTTCCATTTTGTCCTGTGAGCCAACAGGAATCAGCCCCCTTGGGAGAAAGGATGAAAAGGGAGATGAGTCAAAACCGAGCAGAGAAGAAGCCGTTGGAAGCCAACCCTTGTCTCGCCTTCCTGTAAAGGGCTCGTGATTGTTTCCTTCACCCATATTGGTCATTGTTCGCCACTTTGCTTTATCCACTGCTTCATCCGCACTGCATTATAATGCGCTAATAGTCAAACGCTGTTGACCAACGCAACATCCAGTTTTTGCTAGCTACTGAGTGAGAGCAGGTAATGGAAACGCCAGCTTCACTGTTCAGAATGGTCAGCAGAGTCTCGCGCTGCACTGGCCACAGTCGACCTCCAGCGAGCTATAGGCAGCTGATGACTGGCTGATTACACACGCATATGTTTGACTCCATCAGCTCTGAAGTCTTGACTCGTAGCGTCATGCACCATGTCAAGTAGAAAATGATTGGTGTTTATCAAGCCCAGCCTCTCCATGCACCCGTCTCTGGCTGAAGGACGGCCCACTGCAAATTTCCTTTGCTTCGGACCCACATCCCACAATATCCCGTGCATTGACTGAATTGAATCTTCGCACGGGAACTCGGACAGGCATTGGGTGGACGCACTCATGCTGTGACCAATACACCTGTCGGCAGGGTATCGAAGCTCATTATTTGTTTCCAGAGCTCAATCACGAGGGCACTGTGAGGACCATCCGGTTCAAGCATATCCAGACCTAAGATCTCATGTACCGGTAGATTATGTCAACCAGGAAGAATGGAAAATTTGCCAGGGTTGCAAACTTGGAGATAGGATGACTCCTTAGAAGAGGTAGCGAATAGAAGCAGAAGTAGTCTTGTTTCCGTTTACTCTCAGGGTTGGTTCGCCACGACTTCATGATTTATGTATGATACCCACCAGGGGAGAATCCCAAGGACCTCAAATAAATGAGCCAAGCAATGCGCAAACCTGTACTCTAATTACTGGCTGAACTTGGCTGTTCAACCTGATCTCCAGAGCCGTAGTGGGTCATCGAAAGTAAGCGTCCTTTCCTAGCACATTTGCCATACAGCGACCGAAAAAAGTCTGTCAAAAGGCTTGCTAGCTCAAAAATTGCTACGCCGCAATCTCCTCTCCTCCTGCCGACAACCAAGGTCCTCGCTTTTCCCGTTTCTTCTTCTTTTTCTTTTTCTTCTTTTTGCGAGAGTCACCCAGTGCACCTGTCTGTTGCAATTGTGCCTCGAGTTCTCTGGCACGCTCCATGGCTTGTTGTCGTTGCGTCGATCTTCCCCCCATTCGCTCTTGTGTGGCTGCCTGCAGTTTGTTTTCGTTGTTCGCCTGTGTCGCTTGCCACACTTGCAAACACTCGGCTTCTTCCTCTTTGGTCAGTTTGATTTCATGAGCTCCTTGTCCATTTTTACTGTAATAATGTTCCAAAATAATACAGGCAGCATCGGCATCCAACATCCCGTACAAGTCGTCCTTGCTTCGTAGTCGGCCCGTATTGGCATCGTCCCCACTGGTGGCCAATGCGAACGCATATTTGGACGTGTACCGTTCATCCCAAAAGTAGATTGGTACGTGTGGTCCCAACTGTTGTCGTGTGAGTTTGGTCAGTGCCCGACCAAAGACTCGTGTGAGGGTCGTCTGTTCGGCTTCGGTACCATTCTTGTGCAACGGCAATCCGACAATGATTTGTGCGGCTTGTTGCGATTGACAAATTTGAATAATATCTTGACAGAGTTTGGCCGTGTTATTCTTTTGTACGGCCAAGATGGCCAGTGGTTTGGGATCGTATCCCACTGTGGCAGCAATTCCCGTTTTAGCGAGTCCATAGTCTACCCCCACCGACTTGACGCCGAGGAGTTCACAAGATTGTTGTGTCACGGCAGCGGCAGCTTGTAGCAAAAAACTGTTGGCATCATCGGGGGTATTATCATCATTATTATGGTTCACCAAGTCCAAGGAGAGTGATGTGGAGGATAAGAACAGCGAGGATTTTGTTTCGTCATCGTGTGTTCTTGTGTTGCCGTTGTTGATAGGAGATAGCGACGGCAGCCTTGATGATGATGTCCAAGCCAGAGTTGATCCGACAGAGCAAAATGCAACAGTTGCCACTAATAGATACGTGTACAACCAAATACCACCACCATAGGCAGGGTGTCGTATTCTGGTGGCCATGATTCCTTCGCTACTTTTGGTATAGTGGGAGAATGAGGGGTACAATTGTTCTGCGACAATATCCAGATCCATGCTTGTTTTGGTCTTTGAAAGGCAGAGAGAAGTATCAATGTATCAACCACCTCTCAAACGGGGGAACATATATCCTACTTGGATAATGAAACCAAAAACCAAAAACCAATACACAGCTTCTAAAAGGACTCCAAAGAGGTTGGGTGTGATGGTTGATGGGTGTGACGGGTGTGAAGGTTCGGAATGAAAAAATGAGTGGTCGCGGATCTAGCCATAACTCTAATCATGATGCTTTCCATAGGGACAACCTCTTTTGAGGTCGGTTGGAGGTCGATTTATCGTGATTCAACGAGTCGTAATCGAAACCACAACTGAGAGACAACATGGGGTTTCAAATAAAAGGCGATCCCCAAGACAGACACGTGTGACTGGGAATCATGCGAGCAAGCCGTATAAGAAGAATCGATGCACTCCTCAGAGGCAGTAAAACAATGACAATGACACGAAAGATCCACATCGAACTACGAAAACAATGACAAAACAATGCTATGCTCATTTTACAATGGCGTCTAAACTGTTCGAAAGCGTCGACTGGAAGATCGAAAATCTAAGGTCAGCGTCATGTCAATCTAAATATAACAGTACAAGAAACATAACGCAAGATTTCTTGGATGGATTTCAGTCAAGGTATGACCTTCGACGGGTAAAGTTTGAGGATCTCGGGTCGTCGGGAGGTCTACCCGACGACAGTAATATCGTGAAGATCCGAAAATGGTGGTTGGGTTTCTGGAGCGAGTTAGTAGATTATTGGGTTTCTCGTAAGAAAAACGATGGGACGTTCTACTCGCCAGCAACGGTAGAACGTTACTTTACAACAGCCAAGTGTAGTCTACAACAAAGATTAGTTTCGCATAATACGGTGTTTGAAGCTTACAAGGCTGCGTTGTCGAATCTACGGAAAAAATTGACAACAAGAGACGCCCATGTGAAGAAAACGAAAAAGCGTTGTAGCTACACAATGGACGAAGTTTTATGGATCAGTCGAAGATGTTTATGGTTGAACCAACCGGAGAGCGTACAACTGTACATCCTTTTGATCATGACGATACATTTGAATAGTCGTGTCTCGGAAACGTCGCTGATGTTGTTAAGTGATTTTGAGTTGAAGCAACACTACAGCGGAAAAACGTACTCGACATTGTTGTGTTTCCTTGATCGACAGAAAGGAAGTGGAAAGGGACAATGGCCTGTTGTGCCTGGTACCCGAAATGTGCTCTTGGATCCGGTTGTCGCTATAGGAATTGCTATGATGATACTACCAGCCAGTGCGAAGACAATTGCGCCGATGTTTTCGACGTTAACAGGAGTTAAGAAATCTGGAGCAGCAGACCTGTACGAAAAGACTCTGAAAGCTGTTTCGAATGTGTTCCCACCGAAACCATTCGAGCCAACAAAGCTGGGAACATCCCATTTCGGTAAACAGACTGGGCAGTATCTTCTTGATAGTAAATCAATGAAGCTGGAAGCGAATTTATTCGCGGGTCATGCTCCCACGAGTGACAACAGAAAATACTATTGTCAGTATCACGAATCTTATCTTCTGAATGGTGCGACTTGGATGTCTGGGTGGAAGGACACAAACGGCATGCGTCCCTGAAGTGAAAATCCCTACGTTTGAAGATATGGATTGTGTTACTCTTGGCAACAAAATCAGTTCGGTGTTATTCCATGGTGATGTTGATATCAGCGTCAAACAATATGTTTGTGTATGTCTTCTCAGACGTTGGGATGAATTGATCTGTGAATGTGCCGACCATGGGTATGGCAGCATTCTACTCAAAAGCTTGGAGGATCGATTCGGGTGGGACTGGAACGAAATGAATTCGACAGACTGAAACAGCTATGTCGCGGAGAGCGTCAGTGTGATCCGGTAAAGATCCCGTTGCAAGAGATGTTGCGATTAGACCACAACAGGAGCTCTTCGGGACGCGTGTTGATGCGCGTGTCTTTTTGTCGTTGGTTCAACCACGGGACGACCCTGTAGTGGTCTTCAGTAAGTTCATGGAACATTGGGATCAGATCGTATCTATCGACCCTGTTCCTAAATTGGACTACAAGGAGATAAGACAATTGCGAAAGCTAAAACAAGTGGTACGTGTCGTCTTCCGGTTTCTTAAATCCTTCCCAAAAACAGAACGTTCGACAGAGATCAACTTCTACGAGATCTTAAATGTGGGTTGGCCCGCAAGAATGAAATGCGGTTCAATCGAAGAGTCGTTTCTGAAAATGAATGTTTTTTTGTGATCAACAAAAATGAATTTCCTCTTCCTGAGACCTACCGGTTGATTTGCGACGGTATTTATTCAAAAACACACATTATTATAATTGTTAATTTTAAATTAGACGTACGTTGTCCATAGTCACTGATCTTTTCTTTTGAACATGTCGTGTGTTCTTACTAGAAGACTTACTAACGACTAGACAGCTAATTAATTATTGATTGGACTTGGACTTACACGTCAGTTCACTGGGTTCCATTGTGTTACTAAGATTGGCTTTCGTTAGACGACAGATATATACTTTTTGTTTTGTTGCTGTACATAGGTAGTAACTCAGTACGATTAAATTTACTTATGTTTCCCATATTGTGATTATGTACCCAAGCAGTAACCAGAGCGTCACTAAAAGCAATAATGGGGGTGATGATGGTGAGCACTACAAGCAACGAGTTTTCACTTGACATTTTTATGACGTTATTCTTAATTAAAGTTTTGGCGGGTATTGTTGACACACGTTTCAGATTTTGCGGAACTTCAATTTGCGCGTGGAGGTTTCATCGAGATCAGGTAAGAAAAGATCTTCAGGGTATTCGCGTTTAATACCAACGGGACCGGCAGGAGCGGGGGGTGTCTGATAATCAGAAGACCTAGTAACAACGACTTCAGAAGGAGGCATCTCGGCAACAACAGAATCGACGGCAACACTAGCTGAAGTGACACCAACAACAGCCGCAAAGTCAGCCGAGAGTCCATCAACGCGATTGTCTTCTTCTTCGATAGCCTCCAAGAGACGGTGACGCGATTTTGTACCACTTTCGTTCAAAACGCTCCTCATAACGGAACGCCTGTCATAGGTAACTTGAGCCAAACGGGCAATACAAGCCGTCACAACGACAACATGCTGATAAATCTTGCGGTACTGCATACTTTCGTCAACCATGTCGCGGACAAGCACGTTGTAATCGTCCAAGAGACCCGACATAGAATCGACGTCATCTTCGTGGAGAAAACGGGTCCTTTCGATGAGGCCAAAAACACGGTCGATTTGAATCTTGGTGAACTTGTTGCGTTGGGGGATGCGACCACCGGCACGTTCCGTCATTGAACTCAAAATCTTCGTGGCTTCATCGTACAACATACTCACGTTGCGCATAACCTTACGAAGCTCGTAGGTGGAAGAGACGATCTGATCGAAAACCAAAAGGCGGACGTCGGTGCAAGTGCGGTTCAAGAAAGTAGTAATGGGTTCCATGGTGTGTGATTTTGTTTTATAACTCTTAACTGAACTTTTTGTGAGCCAATATGTTTGTCAACAGGATTGTCATTGTTCATTTTTTTGGATCTTTCGTGTCATTGGAACAGATCTTTCGCAACCGACTCGTTGTTATCCCAGGCGATCTACTTACGTCCACGGGGGTACAATAGATCACCAATGACCAAATAAACGCGGTGATATAGACTGTCGTCCAGTTCAACTCCCGTTGCCCCTTCGTAAAACAATGCGGCGTCGAGTCTGAAAGATACTTTTGCCAAATGATATGCATGTTCAATACAGGCAGTAGCAATGACAGACCGCTTTACGCGAGCCAATCGATTGTCCACGGTTACGATCTCAGCGATGCGAACCGCGGTGGCTTTGGCGTGTTGAAAGAAAGGACTGGTGAAATGAGCAATGATGTATCCGAAAAAAGCGTCCACGAAGGCAACAGTAGTAGGGACAGTGACCTTCCAGTCAATCACATTGAGAATGTGCATTTCCAATTGTTTAATCGTCTGACTTGACATCTCGGGGATTGATTTCAAAATCTGTTCGAGAGACAATGCTTGGTTTTCGGCTTTTGTCGTTTCATACTGCCCAGAGCAAAATTTTGTTGCGATCCAATACGATACCAAGAAAATGGGTTTCATGGCGCACCAATGGTAGGTGATGTCGGGTTCAGCCATCATGTAACGATCGGCAATGTCGAGAGCCAATTCCATCTCGATTGGGTTGTACCACCTGGGGGCAACCCACCACATCCAAGCAATACGTTCATGCCAGTACCATGAGGGAAGAAACTTAGGTGAAGTAGCCAAGGCAGACCCGCACCAACCTTTGTTTCCTTCCAACAATATAAAACCGTGGATGTCGGCAATGTGGTCATGGTCATAAATTAAATCACTCATTTTTGCAATGCGAAAAGGTAAATCTAGATCAAAAAAAGGAGGTCGCCGTTCGAAGTCGACTCCAAAATATGGAAACAGAGAAAGAGGGGGTAAACGATACGGACCCAGAAGATCCAAATCGTCTCGTTATGTCACGAGTCAACCTATGCGGGAATTAGCGGTTTACATGAACCCTAT